GAAAATGTAATAGAACTTCCCATGACACTGAAACTAGTCATTTTCATGAATGAAACACCACTGAGAAAACAAGTGCAAGCAAATATAAACAACTGGGACTACATTAAAATAAGAAGCTCCTGCACCTCAAAGGAAATAAAGACCAGGATACAAAGACCAGCCCACAGGATAGAAAAAAGTTGGGGAGAAGAAATGAATAAAAAGTTTTTCAAAGAAGAAATACAAACGGCCAAAAGGCACATTAGAAAGTATTCTACATCACTAATTATCAGGGTGATGCAAATCAAAAGAACAATGAGGATCATCATCATCACAGAGAATGGAATACATCAAAAACAACAACTAGTGCTGGTGTGGATGTGGAAAGAGAGTTTTTATTAACTGGATGTGTATGCATGTGTGCGTGCATGTGTGCATGTGTGTGCATGTGTGTATTGTGGGTGTGTTTGTGTTGCTGGTGGGAATGCCGATTGGTCCAGCCTTCCTGAAAAACAGTATGGACATTGCTCAACAGATTAGAAATTAAGTTTCTATCTGATCCAGAAATACTGCTCCTGGAAATGTACCCTAGGGGCCCAAACACACAATGCATAAAAGTGCAGAATGTACTTCTACGTTCATGGAAACACTATTCATAATGACAAGTAACTGGAAACAACCCAAGTGACCAAGAACCAAAGAGTAAATAAAGAAACTGTGGTATATCTACACAGTGGAATACTACACATCTCTTAGGAAAGTAAAGCCATAATATTTGGTTATATATGAATGGACACAAAAAGTATCATGTTAAATGAAAATGAGTCAGAAGGAGAGGGATATAGATAGAATGATTGCACTCAGTTGTGGGATATATATATATACATATATATATATATACACACACATATGTATATGTATATATATTTAAAAAACAACCCCTCCCTACTCTCCCTCCCCTTCGCCTTCCTCCCGTCCCTCCCCTCCTCTCCTCTCCTCCTCCCCACTCCCTACCCCACTTCCTCCTCCCCCTCCCCCCACCCTCTTCTCCCTCCTTCTATTTTGTGATCACTCTGGTAGTGCTCAGGGATTAATCCTGAACTTGTACTCAGCGATCACTCAAAAAATGCTTGGGGATACCAAATGGGATGTCAGGATCGAACCTTGGCTGGCCACATGCAAGGCAAGGGCCCAACAGTTGTGCTATCTCTCCAGCTCCATCAGCAAATTTTGTTCTAATTGTGTGATCATTGATTAGATGTGTCGATTAAATCAAGTCAAAGAAGGAAAGGAAATATTGAACACCTTTGTGGTAAGCTTTATTATTCCTGAAAACTGGCAACAAAGGATGCCTCATTGACTATGAGAGTTGTAGAAGCCTACTGAGCATCTGGTTATCTGAAAAAAATCAGATATTACCAGAATTTTAGTGATAGCACAGCGGTAGGGCGTTTGCCTTGCACACAGCCAACATGGCCGGCCCGAGTTCAATTCCTCCGCCCCTCTAGGAGAGCCCAGCAAGCTACCGAGAGTATCTCGCCCACACAGCAGAGCCTGTTAAGCTACCCATAATGTATTCAATATGCCAAACACAGTAACAACAAAGTCTCCAATGGAGACGTTACTGGGCCCGCTCGAGCAAATCGATGAACAACAGGAGGACAGTGATCCAGTGATCCTTATGTAATTTGGATTACATATTACAGTCTTTTTATATATATGTTAAGGTTTAATCATTTAATCTGTATTGCTTTTTGGATTTGTTTGTGGGGCCACACTCAGTGGTACTCAGGGGTTACACCTGGCTCTGCATTCTGGGATAACCCCTAGCTTGCTCATGGGGCTTTATGGGATGCAGAGGATTGAACCCAAATCCACTGTATCAAGGCAAATCCACTTCCAGCTGTACTATTGCTCCAGCCCCAAGACAGTAAATAGTCATAAAACATAATACAATTAACTTCTCAAGATGGCAATACATGTAATATTCACTCTAGGAACTAAAGTCACAATAGGGGAGGTTTCATAAAAATTCTAAGTACCAGAAAAATAAAATAATAATCTCAGTAAGTTTTGAGACTCTTTAAAAATAAAAAGAAAGAGATTTGAATTTAATTGGACATTTTCTTCTGAATATTTTTACTGTCATATAAACCAAAATTCACAATTTATTTATAAAACATGCTTGTGAGTCATGGCACTGTATTTAACAAATGAAAATTGTTATGGACTAAATTGTGTTTCCCCAAATCCATAATTTTAAGTCCTAATCTCTAATGTAACTATTTAGGTTAAATGAGATCACAAAGGTAGGGATACAAACTTGAAAGGACTGATGGATATACATGCACGCATGAGAAAGAGAGAGAGAGGAGAAAGAGAGGGATACAGAGGGAGAGAGAGGAAAGAGGAGAGAGACAGAGAGAGAGGAAAGAGGAGAAAGAGACAGAGAGAGGAGAAAGAAAGAGAGAGAGGGAGACAGAGAGGAGAAAGGAAGAGAGAGAGGGAGACAGAGGGAGAGAGAGAGAAGAGAGGAGAGAGATAGAAAAAGGGAGACAAAGAGAGAGCAAGAGAGAGACAGAGAGCAAGAGAGAGGAAGGGAAAGAAGATGAGAGAGTATGAGAGACAGAGAGGAGAGGGGGAAATGGGGGAGAGAAAAGAGAGACCAGAGAGAGAAAGGGAGAGAGGAGAGAGGGAGAGAGAGGGAAGAGAGATAGAAAGAAGATGAGAGAGAAATGAGAGAGGGGAGGCAGAGAGAGGAGAGAGGAGAGACAGGAGAGAGAGATGGGGAGAGAGGAGAGAGACAGAAAGGAAGAGAGAGAGACAGGGATAGAGTGAGAGGAAGGGAAAGAGAGTCTGAGAGAGAGGAGAGATAGAGATAGAGATAGAGAGAGAGAGAGAGAGAGAGAGAGAGAGAGAGAGAGAGAACCGCAATAGAGCTCCTTGTGCAAGGCAGGGCCCTGTGACTACACAGAACACACCATGAGAGATAGTGATGAGTAAGGAAGAGGCCATCATAAACCCAATCCACTAGCACCTTGATCTCACACTTCCCAACATCCAGGATTGGGAGAAAATTGCTTTGTCATAAAATTCATCAAGCAAGCCAGACTATGTCACTTTGTTTCGACAGCCTGAGTTGGTAAGACAGAAGTTATGCCAAAGAAAAGGCATCCTCTTCCCTGTCTGTTTGGCCAGAAACAGCAAACACTGGCAAAACCCATGTCAAGGGAGGGGATGGTCCAAAGGCATCACCGTGTGTGTGTAGGATAGGGTTGAGAGAGAACATGCACATTTCTATCACTTTAGTTTCATATGCCAAATGTCCTTGATTATGATATACTTATAATTTTATAATCCAGTTAGAACAAAATGAACGTGTTGGGTGAGAGACATACGGGAAGTATTTTTTCAGCAGGAGCAAAGACCCTACAGAACATGTCCGGTGGCATGGAGGATGCAGCAGTGTAGGGTGAAAACGGATGATACAATCTTTTGGTTTAAATAAGACAGAGCAAGTAAAATGAACAGAAGCCACTGAACCTAAATGCAGAGCTTCATTTACATAGAAACAGGAACAATTTCTTGTTGAAGAAATGTCAGTTTTCTATAAATACGGAGGTTCAGTCATTACCGCTAGAATTATTCATGATACTATGATTCAAAACAAGACAAATATACCGGGCCAACATTAGGACTCCAATCCCCAAAAAGGCCTTTCATGTACTTTTCAAAACTGGCTTTGTCCTCCAAAAATAGAAGTTTGCTGAGTATGTGATAAGGTCAGAAAATTTTTTTAAAAATGAGCTCATTATTTCCCCAATTTCAGTGAGCAAGTGAGCGAGGGCTGGCTTATATGTCTACTCGGGGCCTTTTATTGGCTTGCATATATTCTCATATCATTAATTCATTTAAACTACAGTCTGGTGATAAATAAATATTAAGATCTAAGTTTTCATTAAATTGTCTGTTGCCCTAGTGACCTATTAGTAACTCTTCTTCTTTCTATTCTTTGTGCTGTGTTAGATGTCCACTTTTTTTTTTGCTCTAAGAACATTTATTTATTTATTTATTCTTAAAATTTTTATTAGGGAAACACCATGAGGTACAGTTGTAGAATTTTTCCTACTTAAGTACACTATGATTTTTCTGTACATGTGTGTACATGCATGAATGTGCATATGCAAATACCAATGATCATTATTATATTTCTCAATGTTCAAGTAGACTTTGGAAAGCGAATTTTGTTTCTGGATAGTTTTGTAGACTGTTCTTTTCATCATTTCTTTATCCTCATTGGATTTGTTCTAATAAGAAACTTCTAGTAGAGAAATTATATGTCTGGTTGGCTTCTTTCTTGTTTGATCCCACATTTGTTCACAGGTGATAATATTTGCCTTTGATGATGTTTATTCCAAATTAGTTCAGTTATAGATACTTATTTGCATTTACTTTAGAAACAATTTTAAAATTTTCTTATTTTATCATAACATACTGAGTTATTTCACATTTCAGCCTCTAAAAAATTTATGATGGTTAAATCAAACTAATAATATACATAAACTTCTTTTTCAAGTATATACATGACATATTCTTTGACAAATATGATCTTAAGACATACATATCCATAGCAAATTTAAAATCAGATTTGACTCTATGACATTTTATGAACATAGACTTGATAGTCTTAAAAATATATCTTAAAAATTTACTGAGTAGAAAAATGTAAATGAGAAAATGATGCTTTTTACTATCAAGAAATGTTAGTACTTTGAAATATTTGTAAAATAACAAAAATGGGGCAATTTTTAATTTGTTTTATGCAAAATTTGATCTTGGCAAGAACTCAATGCCACATGGAGCCTCAGGTTGTTCAGTATCATTTAAGATATTACCACTCCCAGAAGATATTTGCATTTATAAAAGTGAACTTGTTTCACAAATTTCCACAGAAAACAACCTCTAAAAGTGAAGAGTGATGTATTGCAAGAGAATTTGGGGGAAAGAGGAGAAATTTATTTTGCATTTATTTTAACAATCCGGTACCACAAATTATGCAGTCGAGTTTCCCACATTTGGGGAAATCGCAGGGGTCAGCACATCCCAAGTGCAATGGACGGGCCTCACCCTGGGAAAACCACCTACGTGATCATGGTGTCTCCCCTGCCAGGTAAGCCTGCGACCTTAGAGTTCCCGGGGAGAGTGAGGGGAGGAGCAGGCCCTGCAGCTCTTCCGCAGCTTTGAGTGCTTTAGTGCGACAAACTCGAAGAGCATGTGTTTTTATTGCCGTCAGAATTGTGTCTTTGTAACAGTGGGAGCTCTCCCTGGAGAACAGTTTGTTAACGGTTGCTTTCAAGTGCTAGGGGTGGCATCCAGAATCTACAGGTGCAAGGCGAGTGTTCTTCCTCAATTGTCTTCAGGCTCTTCAATTTGAGTCATAGGCTTTTCCAAAAGACTAAAATTTGTCTGATGTCTGTGTGGTCTCGGCAGGGCCTTTCCAGCTGCCTGGTTTCCCGAACTTTCCCGTGTCCTGGTGGCTGTGATGTGGGTTAGTGATAAGGTCACCCGCGCCTTGTGTGAGTTTCCCCAGCGCATTCAGAGACCATCTCCAGATGGAGCCTGGGTATCCTATTCAAGGTTTCTCTTGTATGGCTCGCGATTCTGAATCCGTCTAGGCCCACAGCACAAACTTTTCTCTTGCTGACTCATCCAGCAGATATTTATTTGTATAAAATAAAATTAAGCAGTAATGTCTATTTCAATAAATTCATGGGCAAACAGTTCTGGAGAGAACTAGTGAAGAAGAAAACCGAGGTGTCTTGCAAATAGCACACTGAGGATCACCACACAAATGTTTCAGTATCATTTCCTCTAAACTTGATCATTTTAACAAGGTCTCATTTGCGTTGAACTTTTTTTTTTTGCTTTTACAATCAATTAATATTTGTCGGCGGCCGTGCGACATCTTATTATGACATCTTATTATCTCATTCCTACTTTGGACAAACTGGCAGGCTACCGAATGTAGCCTGCCCACACGGCAGAGTCTGGCAAACTCCCTGTGTCGTGCCCAATATGCCAAATCCCAGTAACAATGATGGGTCTCATTCTCCTAAAGAGCCTTGAATATAATCTCAGGGCTAGGATGAAGGAGACGTTACTGGGGCCTGCTCGAGGCAATCGACGATTAACAGGATGATTTGTGATTTGTGATTAACAATCCGGAATATTGAAATCTATTCACTTTATTTATGCATTTAATAGTTCTAAATAAAGCTGGCAAGCCTTCCATGGTGTAATTGATATGCCAAAACCAGTAAATACAATGGGTCTCATTCCCCTTTCCCTAAAAGAGCCACCAATACAGCAGCGTTAAGAAGGATGAGGAAGGAGAGGCTGATAAAATCTCCAGGCCAACAAAGCTGCCAAAACGAAGAAGGATAAACACGACTGTTTGTATATTCAAAGCACGTACGCTGGCATCAGATGCATTCATCAAGGATCTGATGGTACAAGCACAAAAGATCAAGTACAACATCATTGCTCTGATCAAAGGCATCAATCACATCACACCATTTTCAACACTGGAGAAGAACTGTTCCTTGGAACATGTGACAAAAGAGGCATCAGAGGTGTCATTGTCCTCGTCAACACGAACTTGGCCATGAACATTGATTCATTTGAATGCCTAACAGCCTGAATCAGACAATGACATTTGAATAGATGTGGCGCATATGCCGGCAGTTTCTATCTTCACTGTCTATGCACCAACATCCAACTATGATGAAGGAGTAATTGAGAAGTTCTATGTGGAGCTGGAGAAGTTCTATAAAAAAGACCACACCTTCTATAAGATCATTGTCGATGATTTTAATGCAAAGATAGGACCGAGAAGATCAGCCAAAGAACTCCACATTGGGACCCATGGCCTAGAATGGAACGAACAGGGTAAGAGACTGTCTGAGTTCATTATGTCGACGAAGACCATCCATGGAAACTCAATGTTCCAGAAGGCTGATTCTAAACGTTGGACATGGACGTCTCCCACTGGACGATTCTACAATGAAATTGACCACATCATATTCAATCGATGGTTTTGCCTGACCAATGTCGCTGTTGTCCCAAAATTCCAAACCAGATCAGACCACCGTCTCTTTCATGCAAATTTCTACTTCACAGAGCTGGGAGAAAAGGCTGCAAAGTTTAAGAAGAGAACCCCCAGAACGACCACCAACTGGGAGCTCTGTGGCAATATCGCGGCAACATGGGAAGATGCTGTCCTTGACAACATTGACAAAGAATACAATGGACTGGTTCAGCACCTCCATGATTGTGCGAGGAGAGTGAGAGAGAGATAGCCACAAAAAGATGCATGTCTTAGAAAACTCTTGAACTTATTTGCCAACGTGGCTTGGCACAAGCTTCAGGCAACTGCAAACAAACTTGCAAAGCAGTGCAGAGAGGTGATAAAGGAAGACCTCATAGAAAGAAGAACAGCAATGCTGGCAGATGTGGCAGAAGCCAGAAAAGCATTTGCAATGCCCCCTTTGCCAACTTCAGGACCAGGATGACTGCCCTCCAATGTCCTAATGGATCTATCACATCTTCCAGAAGCACGATGGAGAAGATTATCCATGACTTCTACTCAGATCTCTTCAATAGCCATGTCCACCTGCCGATACACCAAATTCTGCAGGATGGATATGTCCTTCCCAACATTCTCCCTTCTAAAATCCGACATGCCATTTCATCTGTAAAGAAGTGAACAGCACCCGGTCCAGAAAAGGTCAGACCCAAATGCCTGAAGAACCTGCCATCAGTACTCATCAATACACTGGCTTGGCTCTTCACATCCTACATCTGAATGCAAGGTTCTGTCCCAATGAAAAACCATCAGGACTGTACTACTGTACAAGAAGGGAGACATCCATGACATTGGCAACTATCTCCCAATCTGTCTGTTGTCTCTCATCTACATGCAGTTCATTCGAGTCATCCTGAATAGGATTGGCAGAACACTAGATGAAGGACAACCATGCTAGCAAGCTGGGTTCTGAAAAGGATTCAGCACGATTGATCATATGCATACATTAACCAAGCTCATTGAGGTTTCTCGGGAGTTCAAGATGCCACTGTGTCTAACGTTCATTGATTTAAAGAAGGCCTTTGATTCTGTTGAGATGGAAGCGGTCATCGAAGGCCTAGCCAAACAGGGCATTGAAACTCAATACATCAGGATCTTCTGTGAGCTGTATTACAGATTCACTATCAGGATCTCACCATTCTACAAGGAAGTGATCATCCATGTCAAGAGAGGGGTTTGGCAGGGTGATACCATTTCACTGAAACTCTCATTGCCCTCCAGAAAGTCATGCAATGACTGGAATGGGAAGGAATGGGAGTGAAGATAGACTTTTTGCAACTACACCACCTCCACTTCACTGATGACATTGTTCTAATAAAACCAAACATTAGCCAAGCAGCACAAATACTGGCTAACTTCAACCATGAGTATGAAAATGTTGGACTACAGCTGAATCTTACAAAGACAATGTTTATGAAAAACGATCTCATTCCTGGCATTCCATTTGCTCTCAAAGGAACAAACATCTCCGAATGCAACAGTTATTTGTACCTAGTTCAAGAAGTCTACATGACGAATGACTTGGCATCTGAGTTGCACAGGAGGAAGAGAGTGGCTTGGACCGCCTTCAAGAGCATCGAAGAAGTAGCTAAGAGGACAAAGAACCTCTGGCTCTGGGCACATCTCTTCCATTCCACTGTTCTTCCTGCATTAACATATGCCCTCGAGACCTGGGCCCTACGAAAACAGGATGAGAATGCTATTTGGGTCTCCCAAACAGGAATTGAAAGAGCTATGCTTATAGTATCATGCTTCACTCAAGTGAGAGAAAGAATCCAGAGTTCCGACCTCTGTCAACAGTCAAGAATCAGGGACTCTATCTCATTTGCCAAGGAGTCGAAAATTATATGGGCTGGATATGTAATGAGATTTGGAGGTGACCGCTGGACTAGAGCCACTACTGACTGGATTCCACAGGACATCAAAAGATCACGTGGCGGCACACCTAAAAGATGCTCAGACTTCTTCATCAAGATCCTGAAAGATTGGTTTGAGGTTCTTCGTGTTCCTAGACCAAGCAGATGCCATTGGGCTACAATAGCACGTAGCAGGAACAAATGGAGACGTTACAGGCATCAGTTCAAGCAATTGATGAGTAAAGGGATGTCAAGTAATCAAGTGATCAAATAAATAGTTCTAAAGTATATACTTGCCACTGATTTAAAAAAAGAAAAAAATATACATATAGGAGCACTTGAAGCAGATAGGATGTTTTCCTTGCACTCAGTTGTTCTGGATGAGATCCCTATACTACTTATGGTCTTTTGGGTCTTTTCAGGAGAAGTGATATATCCTGAGTGAAGAGCAAGGAGTAAAGCTTGAGCAGAGCTCAAAAGAAAGAGAGAAAGGGAGAGAAAGTTGGAGAAGGAAGGATGAAGGGAAGAAGGAAGGAAGGAAGGAAGGAAGGAAGGAAGGAAGGAAGGAAGGAAGGAAGGAAGGGAGGGAGGAAGGAAAGGAGGAAAGGAGAGGGGAGGAAGGGAAGGAGAGGCAAGGAAGGGAAGGGAAGGAGGAAGGGAGGGAAGGAGGGACAGATGGAGGAAGGGAGTAAAGGAGGGATGAGGGAAGGAAAGAGGGAGGGAAGAAGAGAGGGATAAAGGATGCATCACTCAATGATACATGTATCACTCAATGAGTTCACTTTAAGAGAAAAGGGTCAAAGGGACATGTGCATTTAAGGAGAATTGCATAACAATACAATATTAATTAAAAGTGCTTCATGGATCAAAATTGGACTAAGAGCCAGACACCCTAGTTCTCTGAAGGTTCGAGACTCCAAGCAGCATGGCCCAGGGCAGGGGACCCCTGGAAGAGAAGGAAGCCCCAGATGAGCTCAACCAGATTTAAAGAATATTGGTGGGAGAGCATGCTGACCTAACATCTCAGCCCCTAACACCTTTGTTCCCAAAGGGGTGGGGGCAAAGGCTGCAATACTCTGTGACCCTTGTTCCAAATGAACAGCTCTCTTTACACCCCTGAAAAAAGGGACTGGCTCAACCGTTTTAACAGCAGGCACCACTGCCATGGCCCTTAAGGA